ATTATAAATAATTAGCCAAATATAGAATTGATAATGAACAAATTATTGAAATATTGATGAAGTTTTGATTTAAAATATTTAATCACAATAATTTTGTTTATTTTTTTAACCCTTTCAGTCCCTATGACACCCACAGAGGACATTATTTTGAGTTAATTCTGATAAAGTTACAAGTTGGTTATAATAAATTAACAATATTTGTTCTTGATGCTAATAATGTAAGGAATACAAAAAACATAATATTTATAATGTGAGTCTTATAATGTATATTTTACAGTAAGAAATGTCTTCATAATTTTTTGTCATAAGTTTTTTAAAATAATAGATAACAGAAATATTTTTTTCTATTGGATGAATTGGTTTTAAAAATCTGAAATGTTTTCTTTGATATGATAACATCATAGTCAATATGTACGAATGACCACATTAACCACACATTTTATGTACTTTTCATACAAATCAAGACAGCCAGAAATCGAAAGTTTTTCTCAATCATTAATACAGAAATTTATTTTTTTGGAGGGAGGGTTAAGATCAGTTATACGCACAAAATATGGATCATTATTTTTACACACTAACCAATCACCCATTTAAATAAATACATCTGGTCGAATGTTTATATTATTTAATATAGATATTTGTTTTCGGGACAATATAAAAGGACTCATCTTACATTTTCTATAAATTTCGGGCTGGAGCTCAACCTCAACACAAGGTTTGGCGTCACTATTTATTAATATATAAAAATTAATATTTAATATAAAATGTTGAGGAATCTATCATGAATAAAATTAGTTCAGAGCTTATTTATTTATCATAGATTATGTAATATTTATCTGTTCAAATTATTATTTATACGTGTTAATATAGTTAATTAAGAATTGTAAATTGAGTGGAGAAAGATTAATTAATTATGAATTAACTAGTAATTTTATATTATTAGTATTTTATTTAAAATTATAAAAGCTTTGATGGTCAACCATAAAATATATAAACGTTATTAACATATAAGATGAGAAAAAAAAGCAGCTACAGTGTAAATTAAATATTAATAAATTCTTTTAAAACAGCTTTTTTACAACATATTGTAATTATTATTTATTATTTGATTTGTATATACTGCAATTACCTACTTTATTATATTGTCATCCGTATACAAGTACACAATCATTCAAGTGTCACCTAACTACAGTTTTCTATATAATTTATAAAAATATCAGATTATGAAATATTTATAAGTATCAAATTTTTAAAACCAACTATTTTTTTACTAAACTTTTAGTAAATAATTGTCTTTGATAATCAATGTCACTGTGACAAAGGTTTTTCTTAAACTTTCATGTTAATACCTAACTAAATATTTATCTACTAATTTGTCTCTTGTTGTATTTCTTGTCAGCTTTCTTATTAATCGTTCACTTGTAACTACAACAAAGTTAAAAATTTTTCAACTAGAAATTACATATACATATATATATATACTAATATGTACACTAATTTTTAAAAAAACTGATATGTTGCACTGTTTTATTGAATTCAAGAATAAAAAAAAAAATCAGCATGATTTTAAAATCAAATATTACAACACAAATAACTACCTAATCTAATTAACAAGTATATATAAAGACAACTTAATTATAGACATAAATATATTTTTGTGAACATATACTACTTATAAAATTGAATGATAAAAAATGTTTAGGTTGTACCAACAATGTTATCCTACTTTCCAGTGTCCAAGTCATACAATGTTTTACCAAATATACAAACAATTAAGTATGAATGGTATGTTTACTAAAACAAAAAAAAAAATAAAAACATAAACATAAACAATAATAATTCACTAGAAGTTTTATGTAAATTGATTGAGAATCCACATAACGCCTTGCAAGATATATCAAGCAGTGGCGTACATTTAATCTTGCTCTGGGGAGGGTTTTAGCAAAAATAATCGTTATCTTTTTTTTTTCGTTGCACAGATAAATAGGATGAATAACTGCTATAAATAGATATTATTATTTTATACAACTTATTTACCAATTTTGCAGTTTACTTTTACATTACAGTAAATTAGTAGCTATTGAAATATAGAAACAGCTTAGTTAACAAAACTTTTCAAACACCTATCAATATAATTATTTAATTATCATAATATTTGTATAATTGTATATTTTAAGTTCAAAGCGTAATAATAAAACTATGAATATATTACACGTCATCAATAATAAAACAATTTCTTTTTTTTTTCCCCCCCCCCCCCGTATGTACGCCATTGATATCAAGTAATAGTCTACATGTTCTTAAGTTAACTATTTTAAACAAGGACCTAGGAATTATTTTCTGTTCATGTTAATAATCCATAATATTATTAATTATTATCGATTAGGTATCACACTAACCATCAAAAAATTAAAAAAAAAATTTATGAAATCCGTAGTTCGGTCATCGTAATCGGTATTACGACCCTATTTAGTAACATCTGATTTCTTCACAAGGTTGTTATCATCACAACCATCATAATAGAAGCGACAGTTAAATAGGTGATCAATTTGTTTCCATTTCGCCAAAGGCATGATGTTGGCAACGAAAGCTCGGCATCATTATAGAACATATTTTAATACGGATTTACAATTACGTTACGGTGACAACATCATGCCGAGACTCCGGCGCCTATATTCCGAACATACGAAAGGATCGTAACAGCAATATGAGCTAGTTTTTTGGATCAGTCATCATAGCTAAAATTATTTATAGTTTCATTATCATCCTGTGTTTGTTGTCACTAATATATAATATCAAATAGGTAAATATTATTTCTATAATACTACATTATTATATTATAATATAGTATACATAATAATATTATATAACTGATTTTTTCTATATACGACACTGAACTTAATCTTCTGATCTTATAACACAATAAAAAAATTGTGTTCAAAAACAATTATAACTATTTCAGCATCCGAACTATGCCGCAATTAGAAGTGGGACTGAGGGTGATCAGCACTGTCAAGGGGCCTTAGCTTAGAAAAATTGAGGACTCAAAATGCATAGAATTTATTGTACTGTATATATTTGAGAGAATATCAAGACCAGTGGCACAGGAACTATTTTTCATTAATTTTCAAATTATAGTTTTGTCCCTTCTTATTTTCGAGAGGTCAATTTCCCCCTCCCCTTATCCGATGTGACTGCAAAGACATAAGGTAAATTGAAAAATAATGAATATTCTAATTCACTGTAAATATTAATATGGCTAATTACGTCAGAGTTTAAATTGTTTATCATATTTATAGATTTTATATTATATTTAGTGATAAAAAAAAACACAGGATGATAATGAAACTATAGTTAATTTCAGCCATGATAAATGCTCCGAAAAACTAGCTCACGTTGCTGTCGCGATCCTCTCATCCGAACATACATCAAAATTCCAAGGTTAACTCAAATATTTATCAGTGAATATGATGAGGGCATCTAGTGGGGATTACATGCGACAAGACGTGACAGTCCATTAAAATAATAACTTATGATATGTATTACAATAAGTCATTATTGAAGTAGATTCACTGATAATCATTTATCACCATTATATCTTGGGGTCGGACGGTATCAAGTTTGTTTCTTATAACTTCTGGTTTTTATGAGCTCTAAGTATTACTGAGTTATTGACTAAGTATAACATATTTAAATACAAATACCTCCCAAAACCACACAACTTTGAGGAGCTCTATCTCGTCAACGAATTAATAAAAAATGAAAATTTAAACGTAATAATTCATAAGAAAAAAAGCCTTACTAAATTATGAAATTTTTAGTATGGGTTGCCATTTGAAAAACAAAAGTTGATGTTGGTTTACCCAATAAATATAAGGGTGAAAAATATTGTAGAAATGTATATATTCCGTTACTAGTTCCGTGTTCACTTCACGCTGAGTTTCCGTCGTTTTCGTCTCGGCGAATAGTACACCTCTGGTCACTTTGTCACCTTTGTTTACTGCATAATCGTCGCCTGATAAATTCATCATCGGTACCATAGCACGTCCTTGGTCGTCAGTTGAAACCAAACACCTTGGGACCATTTGTCGGGTTGCGCGAATACCACCTTCGACGCACAAATCTTTATTATAGAAATTTGTTTTTACCGAAATATGTCCAATGTGATTTTTCGGAATTACGTCGGTATCTTTCGCCCACATCGGCGTTTTTGAAACATAATTTACGGCATCGTTTGGTATTACTTCTTCAATCTTCAATTTCCCCGCCAAACTAGTAATCATGACGTGTGGTTGCTCCGTAAATTGGTGTCACACCAAAAGCGCTATTTCTTGAACGTCGTCAGGTACAACATTTATTTTTACATGCGCACTAACACCATCTATGCAAATATTGGTATCAAATCGACATAATGTCTTAACTCTTCCAAAACCGTAGCCAATGAATTCGTCACAAACTGTAGCGTCGTATGTGATTTTTAATCGGTCTACTTCGCTTTTCCGCATCGCCACACAAGATGCTCCCTCGTCAATATATGTATGTACACAGGTGTCATTCACAATCGCATTTTTGAAGTATTTATTTTGAGTCGTCGCAGATCCATCCAATTGTAATATTTGTTGCGATCTTCCGCAATTGTCGGTGGTCGAATTTACTATCGGCACAGTATCATGGCCGTATTCAGGGGGAGGGTTTTCCGGGTTCAAACCCCCCCCAAAATTTGTTCAACATTTTTTTTTTTGCCTATTCACTTGATGTTTTTTTTCTGTATTCAATTAAAATTCAATAGAAAAGTGTTTCTTAATCCATCATCTAAGTCGCACATAAGGTAAATTATTATCCCAGACGTATTATTATTGTGTAAATAAAATAGAATTGTCTACGAGAATGTCTACGCGCAAAAATTGAATCTAAAACAGTGCACTGCTTTACGACGGGTAAAACTATGTATACAATGAGATAAGATCACGACTGACGTTATCGTTGTCGCCTGTCCATAGCTTTGGCTGTTCATATGGACGCACCAGAGTATTTACGTAGTTATTTTTAGTATTCTTCAAATTTTGATAGTGTACATACCTTATTAGAATAATCGTCGATGTTTAATTTCAACTCGAATAGAACTAATTCGGATAACCGATTACCGAATCATTTTTCTTTTGGATTCTCGTCATACAACACACCATGGCGGTGCGCCGTAAACATTGCTGTTAAACGTTTCTATTGATCTGAATTCCGTAAGTATATTTACTACCATTTTTTATTTAATAGTTTTAGAGTTATATTATTTATAAAATATCATAGCTCATTTATTTTATACCAGTTTATATGTTGGACAGTTAATGTAATTATGTACCTGCATAGTCTCTATATTATAGATATCAGTGGTGTTTATTCAGTGTGCAAGTTATGCATTAACGCCCAACTTTAATTATACATATTATCATTTATCAATCCTATTTATTTTAGTCTTTTATTTTATTTATTTATTTTATTTTGATATGTATAATATTATGTAGCACATCTTGTAATTATTGTAATTTTTCGTGTAAGAAAATTAATGTCACAAAAAAATTACTTTTATAAAATGTCTTCATTTATCTTATTCATCAATATACAATTTAAGTGGCATTTAGGTTGATTTTAGACATTTTAAATAGATATTTCCTAAATAAAATTTTTAGTTATAACAGCTCCAAAATATTTATAAACACGGGCGAATTCTCACTTATGCACAATATGTTTATTTTTAGAATTAATACACAAAAATTAAATACCGAAAATGAAACGAGTTCAAAGACAATTGGACATCACTGCATTTACACAAATAAAAAAAGATAAGACAAACAATCCAAATTCTGAATTTCAACCAGTTGAACCTACTAATATTAATTATTCGAATAAAGATGTTTCTATTGAACAAGCTTACTTAGAAGAACTTCCCTCAGTTAGCAAAAATAGTACTGATATTCACAACCTTACTTCAATGCATAGCAATTATACTCCTTCTGTTTCTACCATGTCCAATAATTTTACTAAAACACCCATAGTTGGAGTAAATGATATTGGTAATTATGTCCATAATTTAGAAATTAACGATTTAAAAAAAGAGGAACTCTTAAAAACTCCGTGGGTTCCTTCTTCAACATATATTTTCCCTGTAAAAACCAAAAGAAATTTACGATTTCAATTATCTTGGATAAAACGATTTCCATGGCTTAGTTATTCACAATTATTTGAAGGAGCATTTTGTAGACTATGTGTTTCGTTTGCTCGAGAAAAAGGAGGTAATGGTAGTCATCAAAAATTAGGTGCACTTGTTTCTAAAGAGTATACTAATTGGAAAAATGCTTTGCAAGACTTTCAATTACATGCTACCACATCTTATCACAAATTGTGTGTCGAGAAATCTGATAGTTTTTTAAAAGTGAATGAAGGAATATCTAAAAATATAACTGAACAAATCAGTATTGAACGTTCTAGACAGATTGAACAAAATAGAAAAATTTTACTTTCTATTATAAAAACCATAATTCTTTGTAGTAGGCAAGAAATTGCTTTTCGTGGATCAAACGATTATGGAAATGTAATGAACATAAATGATTTTAATGACGGAAATTTTAGAGCTCTTTTACGGTTTCGTGTAGATTCAGGTGACACTACGCTAGGAGAACATTTGAAAAATGGTCCAAGAAATTCTTTATATACTAGTCCTGGTATTCAAAATGACATAATTTCTATTTGTGGTGAAATAATCAAGTCAAAAATTGTCCAAAGAGTAAATGCTGCCGAGTGCTTTTCTGTGTTAGCGGACGAAACTACAGATATTGGAAGAATTGAACAAATGTCTGTATGTTTGCGTTATTATGACCAAAAAGATAAAAAAATCCGAGAAGATTTTTTAGAATTTACACCGGCTGTTGATCTTAGTGGAAAAGGACTAGCAACTTTGATAATGGGGTGTTTACAGAAGAACAGTATACATTGTCAATTTTTAGTTGGACAAGGTTACGATGGAGCCTCTGCCATGAGTGGATATTTACATGGTGCTCAAGAATACATAAAAAAAGATTTTCCCATGGCACTTTATGTACATTGCAGTGCTCACTCGCTCAATCTAGCGTTGGCCAACGCCTGTTCATTGCCCTCAATAAGAAACTGTATTAGCACCATTCAAACTGTTGGAACATTTTTTCGCTCATCGGCTCAAAGAAGTGAATTATTGAGAACAACTATTATCGAAACTCTTTCAGAGACAAGGCATACCACATTAGTTGCATTATGTGAAACTCGTTGGGTTTATAAGCATGAAAGTGTCATGCGGTTCAAAGAACTATATCCCGCTATTACTGTTGCATTGGAAAAATTGGAGTCATCAATAAATAAAGAAACTGCTCAAAAGTCTTGTCAGTTATTAAGTACAATTAAAGACGCTAAATTTGTTATACCTCTCGTAATAATTGAAAATATTTTTTCGTATACATTGACATTGTGTAAACAGCTACAGACAATTAATGCTGATTTAGTCGAAGCATGCAATCATGTTGATGATGTGTCAGCCGTATTAGACGAAATGAGAGAAAATAACAAACAACATTTTTCAGACCTGTTTTCTGTTGTTGCCATCATGTTGAATAAAAATAAAGAAGACATTGTTTTGCCTCGTATCGCTAATAAACAAACACACCGTAGTAATGTGCCCTCTCATAGCTCTGAAGAGTATTACAATTTTAATATTTTTTTGCCATTTCTCGACTATATCAGATCACAGCTTTGTGATAGATTTCAGAAACACAAATCTTTAATAAGTTCATTACAACAAATCATTCCAAGTAAATGTATAATCGCTACCAATGAAGAAATAAACGACTGTGTAAACTTTTATTCTCAGATATTGATTGAGCCTAATGCTTTCAAAGCTGAATTTGCAATATGGAAGACAAAGTGGCTAAAAGAAGGATCTCGCCCAAAAACAGCAATTGCAGGACTTGACAATTGTAACCCTCTTTTATTTCCTAACATAAGGAAACTTCTACAAGTCTTAGTTACTATGCCTATGTCAACAGCGACACCAGAAAGAACATTTTCATCTTTAAAAAGATTGAAAACGTATCTCAGAAATTCGACTGGTGAAACACGCCTCAATGGATTGGCTTTAATGTCAGTTCACCGGGACATCAATGTTGATCCAGAAGAGGTACTTACTCAGTTTTCAAAATCATCAAGAAAAATAATGTTACTTTAAAATTAATAATCCTATAAATGGTCAAATTAAAAAATGTAAGTTACATGTTTTAATAATTATTAAATATACTTACTCTAATTATAATTATATAACTATAAAAATATTTACATGTAAAATGTGGTTGTCAATTGAAATACCTTACGAGTAGTAAGTATTAAAGCAGAATGTATATTATATAATATGGTGAATAATATAAGTAAATATTTAAACCTAAAAACTAATATGGTTTGAATTGGTTAAAATTCTAAAAATCATGTTCTAGTTTTATCTTAAATTGAAACCCCCCCCCCCCCCCAAAAAATAATGGCTGGATACGGCCATGCACAGTATTCGTCTCTGCATTGTCTGTTTTTGATTTCCGACTACGACATTCATTCGACTTATGACCCGGAGTGGAACACCGAAAAAAAACAATGTTCGCTTTTTTCGTACATTCTTTTGACGTATGACCCGTGACACGACATCGGAAACAAACTGTAGATGATTTCTTCAAATCACTCATTTCTGACGTGCGAGGTTTCGCGTTTATACTCAAGGATTGTTTTCGAATTTCTCGTTCCTTATCACATTTGATATACTCGCTAGCTGATATCAAATGTGGTAATAATTCTGACGGTCGTTTGTATATAGAGAGAGGACCCAAATAGTCACGGTATCGGTCATTTCCAATACCATGGACCACCCATTGAATTGTTTCGACATTATCCATTTTCGCTTGGTTGCATCTGGATAATTTTTCATAAAAATATTCGATCACATTCTGACCGGGCTTTCGCTTAAAATTTTATGCATCTAATTTAATTCGCACGACACACAGTAGTCTCGATCACCATTCTAGGCGGTCAAAATTATTTTTTCATAAAATATAGATCCAAAAGTAACTGAAATTTGGTTAAGTACCTATAATAAGAAATTAAAACATAATGTTGAATTGGAAATTATTTATTTTACCTTTATTATACCATTTAACCAT